TATTCGTCATGAAAAAATGATAACGATTAGCAGAAAGCCATATATTTATACAAACATTAGACGGAAAAAACCTTATTTTTGTCAGTAAATATTCCATTCAATGGTTATAAAAACTTGAAAGCTTAAAAAGAAAAATGTTTTCTTACTTAAAACTACCTGAAACCCTAGAACCAATAATAAGCCTCACTTCAGTAATGTGAGACAGAGGTTGGTATGAGATTTGGGGGTAGAAAATTTGAGGGAGAGGATGTTGCTTCTGACTTCACGCTCAATAACTTCTGCATAAGGAGAAAGCCAGGGTTCTACTCAACTGACAGATGGTATAATGAAATTAAGATAGGTACTTAATGGAAACACTGAGAAAATGTTAAATGGTAATATATACTTTATTAACTCGTGATTCCTTCTTTGTTCATTAGATCTGTGTACTTCAAGATCTCAGATTGGTACTTATATTGTTGTGATAGTGCTATGGATTAAGACACTCTTCTGGGATTCTGTATTTTCCCCGGCACTGAAAGGAAAGATTTTGTGGCAGCTCGGACTGTTTATCTATCACAGAGTCTGTAGTGGAAGAGATGGCTGTATCTCACCCATAAAACAATCACTGCATGTATTTTTGTCTCTGGAATCTTCCTCATGAATAGATAAAGATACTTATTAATCTTTCACCTCCTTACATTAAACTGATAATTAATTGAAAATATTTTAGAATTATTTAGAAGGTCTGAACCTTGGCAGCTTATGGTTCTAATTTGATAAATCTTTCCGAAATGTGAAAGAAAGAGTACATATGGACATACACAAAAAATAATGACACCCAAACAATGCTCACATTTCTTTTTAATCTTGATGGACATGTATCAATTGTCTGGTTGTCCAAATCTTTTCAGCTCATTATTTCTACAGCATTTTCAGCCAAACTTGGTCAAGTTAGTACAAGACCTTTTTGCTCAGATACATCTGTGTCAGCTTATTAAAAAAGTTTGCTGCTTTTCTGTTTTCAGAGACGAAATGAGTGCATCAGCATCTTGCAATCCCCACAGCTCTCACATACCAAATATTCTTAAGACTCCCTGACATGACATTTCCAAGATGATGATAGCTACAAACAGCCTACTCAAAATTGATTAGAACTGAACAGTTTGAGGGCAGATCACAAAGAAGCCATCTGATAGTCAAGGAGAACAGCACTGCAAGGCAGCATCAGCGTGCAAGTCACAAGAAATGAGAACAAAGCTGACTCAGCAAGCCATAAATGACCTTTCCAATGGTAATGGAAGGCAGGACAGTCCTGTGTGCCACTAACCAGTCTCTCTCTCTCTAGCTAAAGGAAGAAAATACTGGTAATGTTTAAGAGCCACTTCTAAGGATGTCCTCTAACAGAGAACATTTTGCAGGATTCATTAATTTGGTATTACACAAAATAGTACATTGCATATACTTTTTAGTTTGTTGTCACAGTATGCACTGCATTCCATACATTGTAGTTTCCACCTCTGCATCATTTTTGGTAGAGGTACTAAAATATGAGTCATATCTACTGCCCTGAGCTACTCTGATGGTTCACAGACAGTATAAACATCATCACTGTGGTTGCCTGACGTGGGGCTGGATGTGGAACAGCTGAAAAGATGAGTGAGGCATTTAAGTTGGGTATCTGGAGGTTATCAACAAAAGCTTGCCATCGGTCACAATATCATGGCACCTACTGGTGACCACCAAAAATGAGTGAAAAATAGATAAAGTCTAAACATCTGTTCTTATAGAGCCATACATCTTATCTTTTACTGAAGCCAGTAGAAGTTTTAAAAATATTATTCAGCAAGGACTTGATTATCAATACCTCTCACAAGCATCCACTAAAAATTTGATTTATTTGAAGACTGTTAGGTTGGTAGCAACACAAGTAACTAATTGATATTGCAAAGGATATTTCATATCTGATTGCTTGCTTAGTCAGAATCACAGCTCTGATTCCTGTAATTTGCTGTAATTATATGAAGTAACTCTTCCCTTGCAATGCAAGTCAGTAAATTTAAGATGAGAGCAAATCTTTTCATACTCCACCTCCAGTCGCAGCAGCAGCTGTTTTGTCACGTGAGTACACCCGCTAGAAATAAACTAATAATCCAGAGCAACTCTGGCACCAATGACAGCATCAATCTTTATGGAGGAAAACGTGAAATTGCTTACAGCAAAAAGTCAGTCAAGCTAGAAAAATTCACTACTTGGAATCCTACACTATAAAGAAATAAAATTATATGGAAGATATAACCCACAAATAATCTAATAGAAACACAACTGTCTTGAGATAAGAATAATGCAGAAATGAGCACACCTTGGTAACAGTGAAAATGTGGATATAGAAATTCAGCATTAAAAACACAAAGATAATCTGCAGAAACATCACAAAGTCTTTCTGAAAGAGGTGTAACAAAACTGATGGAAGCAATATAAATAAAAAATGTGAAGACAGGATTTCTTATCTCTATACAGGTATACACAGGATAACAAAAAAAGTAATTACGAGTAGCACCTAGATAGCAATTAGGAAAGTATTATTTTTTAATCAAAATGTGGTTCATTTTGTTGTCTAAAGACCAGGGAGAAAAAAACTCCAGACAAATTTAGTATAGATAAGGTAGAGAGCAGGTCTTTAATGAAGTCCTTCTGGCACAAGGAGTACAAAAGGTGAACGCGCCATGTCCAGTGGTTCTACAATTTTTCAGTATTAACCATCCAATCCCAGAATTGTCTTCCCCCCCCCCCCCACGCCTCCCCAGAACTGAGTCGGAGATCCCAAGACCCCTTTCTTCTTCATCTTCATATTCTTCACCGCACTTACCATTCTTGGAGCCAGGTTTGAAGGTTGCTTTGACTATGATGGTACCTAATTGTTCAGGCCTGGGGTGCAAATGTTCTTAAACAGAAGGTGTTTACTATAGTACGGCCTTGAAAGGAGCCTAAAGGAGCCTAAAGAATTTAGAAAATTTGATATGAAATGGGGGGATAGGGTTTGGTAAGCGTTAACTACTATTCTAAAATGTGAGAGACTACACAATTATACTAAAAACCTATATTTACCAAACAGCTACTTTAAAACCTACAAAAAGCTAAAAATCCTAAAAATTCTGATGCATCAATTTAATCACAATCAGTGTATTTGTGTCAAGGTAATGAATGACTAATGGATAAAAGACCTTACCAGCATTGCTGGGAACTAGCAACTGCTACTTGGGCAAATGCAAAACACCTGGTAGCTTTAACTGAGAAAAGGTTTGTAGGGAAAGTTATTGCTTTGGGTTTAGAATAGCTGGTGCTGTAGCTGAAAAAAAAAAAAAAAAAAAAGGCTGAGAAAAACAACCTAATAAGACCTCAGAAAAGAAGTTCAACAAGATTGTTTCACATAATGTTTAGAGAGAGCTATTTGCAAGGGTCCAGGTGATGCTGTTAGCTGCTGCTGAGTGGAGGAGTGTGCCAAATTATTGCCTTTAAAACAGTATTTCTAGAGGGTATGTGGGTTTGTTTGCTTTGGTTCGGTGTGTTTTTTTTTGTCGTTTTCTTCTTTTTTTTTTTTTTTTTTCCTGGGTGCTTGGGCTTTTTTTTTTTTTTTTTGGTTTTGGGATAGTTGTTTGAGGACTGGAAGGAAGGGTTGGTAGGTGTTTGTAAGACTAAGCTAACAGATAGAAAGAAGCAAAAATACGTAATGAGAAACTAAAATTGTGTGTTGCTCTGGTTTTGTGTGACACTACTAAATAAGAGGGTCCATTGTGTTTGAATTGCTTATAACTTTTCATGCTGAATCCTAAAGAAAATACTAATTTCTTTTTTTACATGATCTTGTGTCTCAAAAGGGGCTTGTCGCACTGCATCAAGAGCTGTGTTTGCAGGGCAACTTATTTGCTGAGAGGACCGCAACCACAACTTTAACAATGTCTATTGATGGAATAAGAGAGTAACCTAAATGATATTTATTTACACTACTGAAAAAACTGTACAGATGAGGCCAGCTATTCTGAGAAACAAAAGTTACATGATCTCCCAAGCAGTGTGAAAGGATATATGCATTTACATCACAGATCACAGTTTCTGTCATGATCCAAGAGAATTTCCCAAGTTTGAAATCAGCTTGCCACACCACATCCAAGCTGTAACAAATAAAATCAAGAAGTCAGGAGTTGCTTTAAGAAAGAAGCGCAGTGGATATGAAACGCTGATTTATCAGGATTGAGAATACCATTTATTTTATCGTTAATTAGGTATCGCTTAGCTGATTTTTTTCTTCCTCCCATCATAAAGCAGTGTTTAACCAAGGTTCAGCGCTCCGTGCTCGGTGCGGAGAGACACTGGCACATGGAAGATCCAGCGTCCCTCAGTGCCGGGCTGAGCTCCACGCCTCTCCTCTGTTCACTGCCACAGAGCACCAGCTGCCCTCATCCACGGGATCTCGGAACAGGTCTTCTTTCACGAACTAAGAGCTCGAAAGCAAGTGTGACCCTGCGACTTTTACAGTGTTTTCATTTCAAGCTGCAACAGCAGGAATCAGGAGCACTCCACGAGAAGCACGCTCCAGGGAGAGCGAGAAAGGCTCGTCCTGCCACTGCTGCAACAACAAACAGCTGCCAGAAACAAAACATCCAAGATTCGCGATTTTTATCCCCCCGGTCTTGCCGTTCAGTGAACGGCCCTTTAAGCTGCCGCTGGTGCTTTAATCGTACGGCGGTTCCTCAGGCGTCGCTGGGAACGGCCGGGGCACTGAGGGGACGCGCACGCGCGGCGCGTGCGCTGTGACGCGGCGCTGGGGACGCGCCAATGGGAGGCGGCGGCGGCGAGGTTTGAACGGCGCGCGGGGGCGTCCGGGCGCGCGGGGTTGGCGGTGCCGCTGCGGGGACCCCCGGGCCGAACCCACCGCCCACCCTCCGGGGGGCCGAGCCGAGCCGAGCCGAGCGGGGACACCGAGAGCGGGGTGCGGCCGCGGGGCCTTGTGCTCGCCCTGCCGCCCCCGACCGGGGCTCGGGCGGTCGGTGCGCGGAGCAGTACCCGCCTCCCCGAGCAGGTACGGCTCGGGGGGTGTCGGGACGCTCTGCCCGCGGGTTTAAGGGGAGCGGGGGGCTGGGAGAAATCCCCGTGGCCCGGGGTTCCTCGCGATGCCGGTGTTTAAAAGCCCTGGGCGCGGGCACAGAGCGTTTTGCAGTTCGGACAATGCAGAAGTCGCGGTGAAAATGGGCCCAGCTGCGGGTCTTTCCCTAGTTGCGTGTCTCTGCTCTGTGTGGGTGTGTACATGAGTGTACATCCGCTTAAAACTGCTGCAAGCTTTACTCGTGTGTCTCCGTCCCTTTCCTTTCTGCGTTGCGTGCCACCCCAGCTCCATGGGTTCTTCACCCTTTCTGTTTTTAAAGGTAGAAGATGACAGAATACTCGAGGAAGTCCTTCAAAGACAGCCTGAGAGACATAAAACAGCGTATGAAAGAGAAAAGAAATCAGAAATGGGCAAAGCTGGGTAAAACTACCCAGTTCTCCACCGTAAAGGCCAAAAGAGCAAGTAAGATGCTTAAATATCTTAATATTTGTAATTTATTTGTTTTCTTTTAAAGCCAGTTAAAAAGCTCACTATTCTATTGCAGCCAACAGCTCCTCCAAAATGAAGATCATTCAAGCAAACAACAGAGATCTAGCTCTGTCTTTGCAAGAAGAAAAGCTCAAACTGAGGGAAGCTGAAGCTACCATTCTTCAGTTAAGGAAAGATTATCACAATTTGAAGGCTCAGATGGCTGACTTGCAGAGAAATCACAGGTTCCAGCAAGAACAAGGACTTGTGGAGGTATTTGAGTTGAAGTTAAGCACCAGAATCTGAACCAATCCACTGACAGATATATGACTCAGTATATGCAATAAGTTTTTTTAAATTTTTTTAATGGTGTGCTGGTTTGGACACCATGACACCTGGTAATTAACTTTTTTTTTTTTTTTTTGCTACTCTTTCTTATTTACTTAAAATCTATCTTATGTGAAAGTTATGGAGTTTTTTATCACATGTGAAGGCACCTGACAAAAAGTTTCTTCTTTTAGTTGTCTTGTAATGCCAGTAAGAGGTTTGTAGTTGATACTAGAGAATGACAGTAACACTTACTGTCTTTCTTTTGTCCACTAGAATCAACTGTCAGCCTTGAATGAGATAATTTCCAAAGTCTCACAGAATTTACTGGACTCAATTGATCTCCTTGGCCCAGCAAAGAATTTGTGTTCCATAGACATAGTAAGTACCTTTTCCTCTTGAGGTGCAGGGCTTCTGTTCATTATTCCACTCATTCCTTCTACCATAGATGCACATAGTTTTGAGATTCAAGCCTTAGTTTAGAGGAAGGACTAGTCCTACAATTCCCAGTATGTCACAGGGTGCACACTTTGGGGGTGTGGCATTACACTGTGGGATTGAGGCTCTGCTAGGAGGTGGTTGGGGCACCCTGATTTTCTGGGGTTTTGTGTCCACTCTCTGTAGGATTGGGCTGGTGACGTGTGTGCTGATCTGCAGAAGCTCAGTAGGTGAGATCCCACAGCACTTGGTGTTAACCAGCCAGAAAAAAAAAGATCCAAGGGCCTCTTTGGTCCTTCCTTGGGTAACTTGGTTGTTGTCTAAAACTTGTAAATGGTGCAAGCTTGTTTTAGTTATTTAGTCACAGTAAGATTTATTTTGTTGACAGAATCAAAGAGTGCTTTGTTCAGGTCCTGGAAACAGTTGCAGCATCACAGATTCAAGGTAAGTATCTTTTATCAATGCTATATTTATGTTTGAAAACTCTGTTACAGTAAGTTTAATTTTCTGACTGGAAAAAGGGAAGAAACCCAATGTAATTATATTGCTCCTTGTCATAAAGTATATTGCTGTTCAGTAAATACTGCATTTGGTATTTTCTCTAGAGGGCCTCTGCAGTGTGCTCAGGGAGATGATCCTATACTTCCAAGTAGGACAGAAGACTGGAGTGGTAGAAATTCTTGGTCAAATATGTGTGTGGAATCTGAAATAATTCCAAACAAAGGTAACTAAATCAAAGTATC